GTACCTGATGATGACAAAACCTTGTCGAAACGTTGTACATTTGCTGTTATATTAAAGTTTTTTTTCTTCATTACCCATTCAAGCCATCTCCAGTTATATATTACACTGTCAAGTGATTATAGTTATATATTACTATTACACTGTCAAGTAATTATAGTTAAATATTACACTGTCAAGTAATTATAGTTAAATATTACTATTACACTGTGAAGTAATCATAGTTATATATCACTATTACACTGTCAAGTGATTATAGTTATATATCACTATTACACTGTCAAGTAATTATAGTCATATATTACTATTACACTGTCAAGTAATTATAGTTATATATTACACTGTCAAGTGATTATAGTTATATATTACACTGTCAAGTGATTATAGTTATATATTACACTGTCAAGTGATTATAGTTATATATTACACTGTCAAGTGATTATAGTTATATATTACACTGTCAAGTATTCATAGTTATATATTACACTGTCAAGTAATCATAGTTATACATTACTATTACAATGTCAAGTAATTATAGCTATATATTACACTGTCAAGTGATTATAGTTATATATTACTATTACACTGTCAAGTAATTATAGTCATATATTACTATTACATTGGCAAGTAATCTTAGTTAAATATTACTATCACACTGTCAAGTAATTATAGTTATATATTACACTGTCAAGTAATCATAGTCATATATTACACTGTCAAGTAATCATAGTCATATATTACACTGGCAAGTAATCATAGTCATATATTACACTGTCAAGTAATCTTAGTCATATATTACTCTTACACTGTCAAGTGATTATAGTTATATATTACACTGTCAAGTAATCATAATAGACATATTACTATTACACTGTCAAGTAATTATAGTTAAATATTGCTATTACACTGTCAAGTAATTATAGTTATATATTATGCTGTCAAGTGATTATAGTTATATATTACGCTGTCAAGTGATTATAGTTATATATTACGCTGTCAAGTTATTATAGTTATATATTACGCTGTCAAGTTATTATAGTTATATATTACGCTGTCAAGTAATTATAGTTATATATTACGCTGTCAAGTAATTATAGTTATATATTACACTGTCAAGTAATTATAGTTATATATTACGCTGTCAAGTAATTATAGTTATATATTACGCTGTCAAGTGATTAAAGTTATGTATTACACTGTCAAGTGATTAAAGTTATGTATTACACTGTCAAGTAATTATAGTTATATATTACACTGTCAAGTAATTATAGTTATATATTACACTGTCAAGTAATTATAGTTATATATTACACTGTCAAGTAATTATAGTTATATATTACACTGTCAAGTAATTATAGTTATATATTATGCTGTCAAGTGATTATAGTTAAATATTACTGTCAAGTAATCATAGTCATATATTACTATTACACTGTCAAGTAATTTTAGTTAAATATTGCTATTACACTGTAAAGTGATTATAGTTATATATTACACTGTAAAGTGATTATAGTTATATATTATGCTGTCAAGAAATCATAGTTATATATTACACTGTCAAGTAATTATAGTTATATGTTATGCTGTCAAGTGATTATAGTTATACATTACACTGTCAAGTAATCATAGTCATATTACTATTACACTGTCAAGTAATTATTGTTATATATTATGATGTCAAGTGATTATAGTTATATATTATGCTGTCAAGTGATTATAGTTATATATTATGCTGTCAAGTGATTATAGTTATATATTATGCTG